TTAGCAAAAACACACACAATAAAATAAATGGAAATAGATCTAAGAACACAAAGGTTTCATTAAAAGATAAAAATACAGATATCTTTCCGCACCCTTTCTCGGACCAATCTTAATTTTTTTATTACCCGTCGAGCAGAAGAACTTTCTACCGCCAGTCCAAGAAAGACATTTGTGTCACTACGACAAAAAAGACAATTTTTAACATGGAAAAACACAAGGAAAATTAATTCATTTTAATAATATGTGGAAATATCCATCTTTGCCTGAAGAAAGTCGCGAAACCCGAAACTCGTGTTGCAAAATTATGGAAAATAAAGCATAATATATATATTTTTTTTTAAAAAGTCCATATTACAACCCAAAACTTTTACGGTTTCTCTCTTCTTCTTAAAATATATACTTTTCTCTCGTTAGAACAACTATAACTTCTTCCCTATATATATATATATATATATATATATATATATATATATATATATGAGCAGCATATCTTCATTCAAAAATGTTTCATTGAATAATATAGACATATTGTCTAATTACTTTTTTGCTGATCCTTTCCAGTTCTCTAATCAGTCTCTTGATGTTAAAATGAAATTCATCAAAGAAAGCACCATAGTTTTTTTCCTGCCCAAGTATTTTCGATCTCCTCCAAGGTCATCCTCTGAGGTGAATTACAAAGACAAACTTATTGGAACTGTGATAAAATCTGCATTTCTTTGTAATAGTGATTTAAAAAAAAACAAAAAAAACACGCGCTCTGTTATAATTATTTAAAAATGTTAAATTTATCCGTTGTAGCTATCGAATCTTTTGAAAAGCAAACTTCCTAATGTAAGGGAACTGACCGGAATTATGTTATTTAATGAAACAATAGATTTAATTGGTATCACCTCATGCAAAGCAGTAAAGCCACTAAAACCCAAGGGGTTACAGGATGTGGAAGAATTAGAAACAGAAACATTAATGAGCAGGGAGATAAATACATTAGGAGGAGAGTAGATAGCGATTGACCTTGCATTTAATTTTTTGAAGATTAATGTTGGCTGGAAAGTATGTAACCGAAAGTCAGTTCCACAAGCGAGAAAAAGAAACTGTTAGCATAGAAATTACGGCTCCATTTAGCTAGTTCAACTGTAAATTAATGAGATGTCGACGCCAGTTTTGTATTGCGCTTAAATTAATGTCGTCTACGTACCATAGTTAAGAGCTCATCCAGACAATTACTATGAAAGTATTTATTAAAAAAAACGCACAGCGAGGCAATCTTATGGTGGTAGGTAAATGATTGAAGCAAAGCCACCAGATCAGGAGCGATAATATTACTGATTCTTCTTTGGATCATATCAAGGAGCTCAAGTACAACATCAGGGTCACCAGACCATATGTGGCAGCAATATTCTAAGCGTGGAAAAATGGTAGATATGTTAGATAGATTCAAGAGAGAAAAATTGTCTCGCATGATACAATGAACCGACCTACTTCGCAGCTGACATAGCAATGGATGATCTTCAGTGTAAACATAGTTTCCCGATGACGCGGGTAGGCCAATAATTGATAGATTTATTGACTGATTCGTAAGGCTTTTCTACCCATTTCAGGTTATTTAAAACCAGAAAATATATAAAGATAATAATGATTTGTACAAGTGCTACTAATTAATCCATAGCTAGGGAGAGAAGAGGTGGATTCATAACTTTTCCAATGTTATTTACGCGCAAAATGAATATAAGGATCCCAACTGGCATTGGAACTTGACTCTTCGCGTAACAATTCCGACCCATTATCCATATCACCACCCACACATCCAAGATTACAACCAAACGGTCACTCATCTAAGGGCTAACCGGAGTCGACATTGCTTAACTTCTGTGTTTCAACGTAATATAGCTATAAGCCTGCCAATAATAGAACAATCCTGTCAGTGCCGTACGGCTGTCAAAATGTAGATTTTCAAAAGATTTTTCAAAAACACGGTCCTTACAATTGAATCGTTGGAAAGCAGATAGTAAACCCAGCCGAATGCGGAGGAATAAATGAAGACAAGGCGTAAATTACAAAAGGAAATAGTAGAACAACAGAACAGCTTGAAAGCACATATTAGCTGAAACCTCATGCGGAGGACAGAATGCAGACAACACAAGAGCGACGTTGCAACAGAATCGCTGGGTATCGAGTATTACTAACCGACGTTAATAAAAAAAAAATTGCAGACAAGGCACGAATTTCCAAAAGGTGGACGTTACGACATAATTGCTCAAAAGTAGGTATTAGCCACCGCTATATAGAGAGGACAAAGTTGCAGACAAAGCGAGAATTCCCCTCCTCAAAAGAGGTGGACGTTACACCAGAATCACTTGAAAGCGGGTATTAGTCAATACATTATGCAGAGAAAAATGCAGTCATGGCGCAAATTTAAGGAGGGGAAGTTACGATGATATCTCTGGAACATAGGTACTAGTCACAGTCTTATCCGGAGAATAAAATGCAGAAAAGGCGCGAATTTTAAAATTTTTGTGACGTACGGTAGCCGTTAAGAATTAAGTATAAATCAAGACTTCAATATTAAATAAAACAGTATATAAATAAATAAATGCTTAACACGAACAAAGAAAAAAAAAGTCAACTGAAGATAATTAACCATTTCAGTGAATACCTTGTTAGTAGCGCGGCTCAGTTTAACCTCCGGTAAATCCTGAATCAAAACCCAAATCACCGACGCACAATAATTCACAATAATTCGACTGGATAGTTCCACTCAATAGTCACTCCAGTCAGTAGCCTGACACCGCTATTTATACACCTGGCGGAAAACATATATTCATAAATTCAGGGTGTCACACTCGAATCTCGGTGTCGGTAGTTACACATTTTCTTCCTATATGATAAAAATGGAAGACGTGTGCGTATAACAAGGCCAAATTTAAAAAGGGTAACCTCACGGAACGAACACCGCTTGACGGTTAAGAGGCGAAATAGCAAAAATGTATAATGAACGACATTTGGTGTTGAACGTGTGAAGTACTTTTATTATTTCCTATATTTCTTCAATTGTCTTCTTTTTTTGTTTCTTAAATGACCTCAGTAAAGTGTGCTTGTGCTGACTTTTACTTTTATTCATTTCACACCATGAAAGGAGATAATGCGGCTAAGATGTTACTGTGAGTGAAAGAGAATGAAGTAGTTCAGTATAATAAGAGAATTCCTGAAGACAGAAGGTGGCGATTAACGATGCATTTTTGAAGATCGTGGGTGGCAGAGAAGCAAGAAACAGGAAGAGAGTTCCACAGAGGAAAAGTACGAGAAAAGAAACGATCAGAAAATAACTGAGGGTTGCATCTAGCTATTTAAAAACGGTGAGACCTAATTGTCAATATAGTACTGCGATTAAATTCGTAGAGTCTAGTTACCAAGGGAAGGGAAAACTCATTAGAACAATTGCCATGAAAATGTTTATAGAAAAGACGCAGGGAAGATACGTCCGGGTGGTTGAAATGTGACTAAATCGAGATGCCATGTCAAGACCGATAACATTGCAGATCCTTCTTTGAATTTTGTGATGAATCGCGAGATATATAGCTGAGGTACCAGGCATTTATAAATTTCCAAAATGTGTTCTGAAGAGAAAAATTGTCTGGGCCGACATTGCGAACCATCTTTCCTAGCAGAGGAATTAGCAACTGATTTAATATAATCACTCCAATCCATGTCAGTGCATCACGTGAGATCAAGAAGGATCAATGAGCTGTTCGTCTGGAGGCTAGTATCAACCATGCTTATGGCAGGCAAAAATGGTTTCCTATGTTCATTACAAAATAGTATTGTCGTTTTGGACACGTTAAAATGTAAAAAAGGCATTTTAACCCCAGTTAACACTTGTTCGAGGGTCATTTTCGAGAGCAACGGCCAAGAGTGTCAAGTGTAATGCATAGAAGAGTCTCAAACCCTGTGCTGTGATAGTTGATGACAATAATAAACATTATCAAGTTCTTGCCAGTGTCTATGAATATAATGAAAGCCTGATTTGACGCTGGGCTGTGGATTCTTGAAAAGCAAAATCATGTAGAATTCCTGGATCGAATGTGCAGAAGTGTCAGCTGGAAAACTGACAAGCTACAAGAACAATATTTGTCACAACATTCTGCTCAAAATACTGCCATAGTCTCTATGTACCGTGTCATTTCAGGACGTTGGCGATCATGGCTCTCCACAATTCCCTGCCCTTTAGAAATGTTGTCTTTTCCTTGTCCCTGTTCGACCACCCATTTACTCACGCTCGCTACGGAAAATATGCATTATTTTCCTCTGTCTCTCTTACCTTCAAACTTTCTTGAGTGTATCAACTTTTCCAAGACCTATTTCCTTATTATTTCCTAAAACCTACTTTGTTCTTCAAAAATTTAAATATCAATCGTTATCTTCTGTCTTCGTAATTCCTGTATTTTATTGTTCTTTATCCTTAATAGTGTATTTTCTTCTCATATTTTCTCACACTGAGTATCCCCTTGCATCTTAATAGCTTTGTAACTTTACCTAGGGTGAAATGATTTTTTAAAAGCATTTTGGAGGAAAACTGGGAAACTACAATATAAATATTTGTCAAGGAATTTGTGTCAAACTTCTGTTCCCAATACTACGATATTACCACAAGTACAATCTTATTAGAGCCTGTTCTGTGTCGAATAAGAGATTTGATTCTAGATAATTTCATGAATGTGTCTGTTGTGGAAATGAAAAGAGTACGAATCTTCAACAGAATGATTTAAGACTGAAATTCAGGGATTTTTCTAAATTGAAGTATATTATTGATGCTTTTGTTAATACACGTACGAAGAATTTCTAGAGAATCTCATGAAATTGCACATTATGAAGGGAAGAGGAATAGGAATCCGTTTAACAGAAGGTTTGAAGGCCGAAATTCTTAGAGTATGAGAAACAATACAGACAATGTGGCCAGATTCAAATGGAGCCAATGTGAACTGACTTCCTTTATGGTTTTAGGCTTACGGCCACATCACGTTGAAACGCTGGTTCCCGTACGATCACCAAACTTAAGCAACGTCGAGCCTGCTTAGTACCTGGATGGGTGACCGCTCTATCTCTGATATTGAGCACTTTATTCCATAAATATATTAAACCTTAAGACTATATATATATATATATATATATATATATATATATATAAATTTAATTTAATTAGAAATCAGTCAACCTTAAGGTTCCGTTGATTAGGGAGGAGGACGACGACGAAATTAGAGAAGGAAAGGTGAGATAGGAATAATTTTAAATCTATTTTTATTAAAATACGAGTAAGGGAGGGGGGTTAAGAACCAGACATTGTTTTATTTAATAAGTCATCTAACAGGAAAAGAGACAAAGAGAAAAAAGCAAATGGAGAAGCAGGGGTGGGAGGAAAAAGTGGGGAAAGAATAAATTAATATATATAGGTATATTGCGGTTAATTTCAAAAACACATGTTGATATATTTTTGCAGTTCATTTGACATTAATTTTAAAAATTTAAATATATATATTGATAAATATATATATATATATATATATATATATATATATATATATATATATTAATTTGCTTTAGGTAGTAAACGAAAGTGCGAAGAAAAGACTAAACATGAATTTTGGTTTTCAGCAAGACAAACAACCGCAGTTACAAACTAGGAATATTAAAATCATGTGACACCTATATCAGAACAAGAACTGAAATAGCGAAAGATGCTTTCCAGAAGCTCAGCAATGTATTAAGAAATAGGACAAAGTTCATTAAAAACAAAGAAAAGTGCACTGTTATGTTATATATCAAACCTCCTAGGTAGCAATGGACGAAAGACAATTTTCTCACAGATGAAGATGTCCCGAGGCAATATAGATATGTTTCTACGGAAGATTGCTGAGAATGCCATAGCCTGAACATGCAAATAATGAGGAATTTTTTATGAAAAATCAAAACAAATAGGACCTTTGAACTAATAATCAAAAAGATGCTGTAAAGATTTCTAGTACTCATAATGAGGAAAGTAGTCTTGGGGAATTTGATACTCACAGTACATACTGACGACAATAAGCAGAGAGGAAAGAATAGAGTAACCTACCAAAATGAGCTTGTGGAAATCACTGGTTGAACAGGGAGTGGGAGGGAGGATGAAAAGATAAACTTTACTTAGAGCTACAAAGGACTGGAAGTTGTGGATAGACATGATCACCGACGTTCTGAGGAACCATAAGTTTTTTATTTACTTGCCACGTTTGTGTAATTTAACTTGGCTTACTCTTTGTACATCAGGCAATGTTGAATAGAGCCTTTAATCGAAATCCTCGTCATAGATTCTCGAAATTTCATATCTCCTTAGTTTCGTATGCAAACGTTAACAAAGCAATTTTGTAATGTAATGGATTCTTTTTATTTATTAATACCACAGATTGTATCACTTTAAACGTTATTTTTGGGAGATGCTCATATCTGAGTAGACGCTCCGTTTATTTAATAAATAAAATATATTTATTTATTTTTGTCTACGGTCTGAATATGAATTAATGAATAAGATAGAAAATAAAAAATCGATTACGTCTTTAGAAATTGCGTGGTTTACTTCTGGATATGAAACTGACCTATGGAATTTCGAGAATCTATGCTGAAAAGGATTTTGCTTAAAGACACTATTCAACATTGCTTGAATGACAAAACCCTTCGTGGCTGAGTAGGTATATGCACATCGGATCTAACGTTGGCTTAATTAATATTGGCAATTTATTTTTTAATTTGTCAGTCTTAATTTTACATTTGCTTGCTTAACTTTTGCATTTTCTTATTTTAATCATTTATTTTCTTGCCTTACTTTTCTATTTAATTGCCTTACTCGTGTATTTTCTTGCCTTAGTTACGGATTTATTTGCCTTAGTTTTTTATTTTCCCTTAATTTTGTATTTGATTGCATTTTGTATTTTTTACTTGTTCATTTCCTTTTCTTACTTTTCTTTTTAATTGCCTTACTCTTGTATTTTCTTGCCTTACTTATGGATTTATTTGCCTTAGTTTTCTATTTTCCCTTACTTTTGTATTTGATTGCCTTAACTCTTTATTTGCTTTCCTTACTTTTGTATTTTTTTTACCTTACTCGTTTATTTACTCATCTTGCCCTTGTACCTGACTGCTATGATTTTACATTTTCTTACCTTGCTTGCGTATTTTTCTTGCCTTATTTGTGTATTTGTTTGCCTTACGTTTGTATTCGCTTTTATTATTCTTCTAAATGCTTGTCATAGTCTCTAATTTTCTTGCTTAAAGTTGATGTCCTCCTTTTTTTTCGGATTCTTTTCATTCGGATTTCAAGCGGAGTCTTGATATGTTTAACCATACATTCTTTTTTGAACTCACCCTAAGGGTCTGCTGAAAAACAACGCCTCCATTCTGATAGACTTATTGTTACTTATACACAACTACCAAATCCATTTTTCGGTAAAAATGGACCATCATGCCCGTAAAAAGACGTAGTTTCAAAAAGACGGTTTTTTCCATGACCCTACTTTTACTTTAATTGCTTTAACACTTCTAAATGCTTATTGTTTAAAAAAACAAACGATTATTAGGATTGTATTAAAACCTACAGATGAAAGTGAATTCATAAATTTTATTTGTTCTTGAAAATTGACAACAGAAATAATACACACTATTTATTCATCAGATTGTTATTTGGAGTGATTGGTAAACATCGTCTAATTACCAAATTGATTCGAACTTTATAAAATGGTAAATAATAAGGATTTCCCTATTGGTTCATATATTTTAAGAATTTAGTAAATGTTTATAAATTTATGAATAAAAAATTATTTTCACATTTATTGCTTTATAAATTGATAAATGATAAAGAAGGACGCACGGAGAAGTAATAGGTAGTGGCTCGGATTGAGAAATCTGAGAGCCGAGTTCGAACTGCAGTTGAATCCATTACATTCACTTACATCAATCATGTATCGAAAGATGGCCTAAACGTCTAACACGCATGGCACATAGCTGACTAAAATGATAAATATTTCACTTTTTGTTAGTCTTAATACAAATTCTTTAATTTTTAGTATGTTCTAAATATAAATATATATATATATATATATATATATAAAAGTATCTTCCTGTAAATATAAAATTATTCCTATATTTTATAACAATCTAAAAAATAAACAGTGTTTATTATTTTTGTTGTAAATTCTCAAAACAAAGGTATAAATTCACTTTCATCATTTTTTAAGTTTTATTACAATTCTAATCATTGCTTTTTAAAACAATAAAACTGTCAGAGGTAAAGGTAGTTAAAATAAAGTGGAAATTGCTATTTCACCTTCCCACTAAGGCGTTTAGTAAAAGCAGACATCTTTCTGTTCTCTCGATTCCCAGCTCTATTTCATACAATATGCCATACTGAGCTACAACTTTGGGTTGCGTCTCGTCTAGGAGAACAACTCTGCTAAAATTAAAACTGTGGAGAATTCAACAGGAAACCATGATCATTCGGAAGTATATATATATATATATATATATATATATATATATATATATATATATATATATATATATATATATATATTACATGAATCATTCATACAAAAAAACAGATATAGAACTTAATGATGTAAATGACGAGAATACATTTTTGCAAACAAATTTAATAAAGTACATTAACCCCTGAACCTGTAGATGAATGTTATGATACCTGTTTATAAATTCCAGTTGCATAAGGTCTTTTTTAGTTTTTACAAGCTTTCATCTGTTCATACAGACATCTTCAGGTATGGAAATAGATTTGTTTTTGTTTTTTTTTTACTTCTCAGTAATAACAAGACAACGAAAATATAGATGTAATCCGAAATATGCACCACATACTTGATACCAGCCTGAATGTCCGAGAAATTGCAATAGAAAATATGCGTCCTCCGACAGGAATTGAACCTGTATCCTATACGGAACCGTCATATAGCCTGACGTGCTTTACCAATTTAGCCACAGAGGACCGTTTCAGTTAGCAAGGTCGATTTTAGTGTTTCATAACGTGTGACGTCATTTTTTTTTACATTTTGGATACGCGTCGAGCTGATATGAATGTGCGTGAGAAAATCATGGAAAATTGTAGTTTAAAAACAGTAAAAATTGGCCGGTAAATGTTGTTAATACTGTTTATTATAAACAGAGCATTTACTTAAATATTTGTATCTATAAAAAAAGAAAGTACAAACATAAAAATGTCTTAATATATATATATATATATATATATATATATATATATATATATATATTAGGGTACGCTTTCTTTATAAGGTACAAATGCTGAATATCAGGGAGAGAGATAAGATAAATATAAGAAGTCTGGTAACTAATGCTAACACCAATTAAAAGAACGAACATGTGAAGAAGCGGAATTGACTTCTTCCAAAATATTATTATTAAATTGCGTCCAAACTGGGGACAACGCACTGACATTGTGAAGTCGGAAAACTTCAAAATGTTTCTGAAGAAGACATTTTACCTGAGATCGAAATTCTGTTTTGCTGGCTAATTGGACTGATTGATGAAATCGTTAGAACTAATCACGTGAAGAAAATCGATAAATATCATTTTACTTGCTGTATCCTGTTTCTACTACTAATGGCTTTCATTACCTGAGCCAGCATTTCAAATCCCGCCCACCAGATATACTACATACACTCAGCTACCATTTATATCCTATTGTCTCATAGTAAAGCATATGTATTATCGTTCAGCGGAACCAGCAGAAGCTGCTTCACAGAGACAAATTAACTGAGAAGACATACATAATGTAAATTATCTCCCCTAGCATAGACAGCGGGATGAGGACATTCAACCCATATGGGTAGAGTAAAAGTCTCAGTTCGAGAATTCCCGAATAGTACAGACATATAAAGACTTGGGGTACAACAGTTGAAACTTGGTTAGTATTTCAATCAAGGGTAGGATGAAAATTCTCCCAAATCTGTATTAAAATAATCAATATGATGCTCAATAATTTATTCTCTATTCTACATCCAAATGAGGCCTGACAACAACAAAAAAAAAAACTTCTAACATGT